CTATATTTATGTTGTTTAAGTCTAGTTATAAGATCTTTACCTGTCTGGCCTAAGTAAAACATATTACATTCCTTGCAAGGAACTTTATAAATGCAGCCACTTGTATTGTTGGGGGAGTTCTTGATTAACATTTGTTTAACAGTGCATGAGTTTATAAATGCCACATTGACGTTCTTTCCTTGTGGTTATCAGCATATATATATATATATATATATATATATATATATATATATATATATATATATATATATATATATATATATATATATATATATATATATATATATAACTTCAGCAATGGACTTGTGATGTGGAAAACGTAGTTTTATAATGAAGAGGAGATCCAGGGTAAACACAAACATCTTGAAGTAGGGCTTCTTCTAATTGCTTACGTTTCGGAAATAATCCTTTTCCATCATCATCATTTTTGTCGGTTTTGAAGTGGATTGCTCTTTTTTAAATTTTTGAAGTTTATCGAAGGTAAATTTCCGCATAATATTATGTTTTCATTATATATCACCTGTATTTTTTAATTTTTTCAAAAAATTTTCAGGCTCTTATGATGGAAAATGATTATTTCCGAAACGTAAGCAATTAAAAGAAACCCTACTTCAAGATGTTTGTGTTTACCCTGGTTCTCCTCTTCATTATATATATATGTATATATATATATATTTCATGTAAATCCACAATGAAAACGTGGATAAGATAAATCTTGATAAAATCACACGGGAAAATGGAAACAACGGAGTACCTTAGCTTTCGTCTTTATTCAAGACATCTTCAGAGGCAACTGGATTACATGGACAGAGAGAGGCTTAAATATACAGGGTGACCTAAAAACATGAGGTCAGGTCATAATGATAACATCCACTAATCCCCACACCAACACAACCGTAGAGGAGCTTAAGAGAAGGGTGGTGACGTGACTAGACAGGTCAGGTCAGAAAAAAGGGACCCACAAAATAACTGTCATACATCAAGATCAAAGGTTTTCAAAGCATTTTTAACCTTGGGCCACTGACAAATAAATTTATGTAACATATTATCAGTTTTGAACTGACCATCATTAAGGTTTATTGATTTTAATTCCTTAATCAAACTAGCTTCAACCAGAAGTCTTTCTGTGACACAAGATGATTTGAATACTTCTAAGCTTTTTTCCCAAGCAATGGGGTGATTATTATTCCTAACATGAACGAACAAGGCACTGCTTTCAGATGTAGTTCTGATATTATACTTATGTTGTTTGATTCTGAACTGCAGTGTTTTTCCTGTCTGACCTACATAATTACAATTACATTTGCTACATGGAATACAATAAACACTTCCATTTACATTCAAACTTGGGCTATTCCTTATTAACATATTGGTAATGGTTGAGTCATACTTGAAAACAACATTAATATTTAGAAGCTTGAGGGACCGAACTAAAGGGACAAATTCATCACGATAGGGCAGAGTCAAAATATTCTTAAGTGTAGGAACTTGTCTGGTTACAGAGGAATGAAAGGATTTTTAGCCCTTTTAAAGCAACGATCAACAAACACAGAAGGGTACCCAAGTTTCTGTGCAATAGAACGAATGTGTTTAAATTCGTCGTCAATAAATTCAGAGTCACAAATACGCAGACATCTTAGGAACATAGCAGAAAAAACTGACATTTTGGTAGACTCAAGGTGATTGGATAAAAAGTGAATGAAACTGTCTACCTGTGTGGGCTTTCTATATACCTTAAATTTATAGTTTTGGCCATTTCTCATGATAAGCATATCAAGAAATGGAAGGGATTCACTTATTTCTCTTTCAATTTTGAATGTGATACTAGGGACAATATTATTAAGCTTGTCTAAAATTTCAATGGGTCACTGTTTTTAGGCCAAAGACAAAGAACATCATCTACATATCTATACCAAGGAGGAATACAGTCCACTACATTGGGGAGTAATCTAGACTCAAAAAACTCCATATATATACAGGCTAGAGGAGCAGAAAGACAATTACCCATGCTCATGCCAAATATTTGCTTGTAGAACTTCCCATTTGCTCTAAACACATTGTCAGTTACGCATAACTCTATCAATTTCAGGAAAGTATCATGTTCAATAGTTAAATCTAGCAGTTGTAATTTATCTTTAAGAAATGAAAGTAAGTCTTTCACAGGTACTCTAGTGAACAGTGAATTTACATCAAAACTTATTAATTCGCAAGGTTCGTTTTGTTTCTTGAGTTTATCAATTAAATCACTGCTATTGCGTATATGTGAATTAGATATTTGGCCTGTAAGAGGGGATATCATCTTTACCAGCCACTTGGATAATTTGTAAGTAACAGAACCCACAGAACTCACGATAGGACGTAATGGATTATTAAGCTTGTGTGTTTTGATCAATCCATACATATAAGGTAAAGTGGGATTGATTTGAGAGAACTGTTTAGTGAGATCGGGGTTCTTTTTCAATAACATCTTCATTTTGGAATTAGATAACTTATTAATATTTTCCAGGGGATCTTTCGTAAGCTCACAATACGTGCTTTCATCACTAAGTAATGAATTCATCTTGTCATTGTAGTCACTTTTATCCAAGATAACAATAGCATTAGACTTATCAGCCTTGGTAATATGGATATTCTTATTTCTTTTCAAGTTTATCAAGGCTGTTTCAAATCTTTTTGGAATGTTTGAAGCAAATTTCTTATTTAAAACACTATGTATACAACCTTTAGCTATGGAAATATCTTCATTTGTAACATCAGACGACTTCTTCTTTTCCAGGTTGATTAAACCTTTAGCAATAGTAAGCGGATTAACACACCGTTGAGTGATAGAAAACTTCCTACCAAAACCAAGAACAAGTCAGTGGCCCAAGGTTAAAAATGCTTTGAAAACCTTTGATCTTGATGTATGACAGTTATTTTGTGGGTCCCTTTTTTCTGACCTGACCTGTCTAGTCACGTCACCACCCTTCTCTTAAGCTCCTCTACGGTTGTGTTGGTGTGGGGATTAGTGGATGTCATCATTATGACCTGACCTCATGTTTTTAGGTCACCCTGTATATTTAAGCCTCTCTCTGTCCATGTAATCTAGTTGCCTCTGAAGATGTCTTGAATAAAGACGAAAGCTAAGGTACTCCGTTGTTTCCATTTTCCCGTGTGATTTTATCAAGATTTATCTTATCCACGTTTTCATTGTGGATTTACATGAAATATGGAACTTACACGTCTCTCTTACGCTGTGTCCTTAATCTGTCAACAACATCCTCATCTTCGCCCCATCTACCGCAACTACAAGAAGAGTTTGCTGAAGGCTCATAGTCTCAAAAACAAGTTGAAGTTTTTGAAAGATTGCAGAGATGATAAAATTGTTGGTGTAGATTAGTGATGTCATCATTATGACTCTCGACCTCATGTTTTATAGGGTCACCCCTGTATATTTAAGCCTCTCTGTCCACATGTAATCCAGTTGCTCTGAAGATGTTCTGAATAAAGACGAAAGCTAAGGCATCTGTTGTTTCCATTTTTCCTGTGATGAAAAAATATATATATATATATATATATATATATATATATATATATATATATATATATATATATATATATATATATATATATATATATATATATTCTTTTTCGGAAACGATGATGTTCATCAAAATACATATAAAAGTATAGTTTTATATAAAATCTAACCTAACCTAACCTAACCTAACCTAAAAGTTTGGCTAGCTTTTCGCTGGGTTAGATTAGGTTAGGATTGGTTAAAGTTAACTCCGTTGAGTCAGAATAGATTCATTGGCTCATTGGATTAGGTTAAGTATAAATATGGTTCAGTTAGGTTATGTTAGGATTGATTAGGATAAATAAAACTCACCTTTCCAACAAGACACTCATGTTTTAGGGCAAATTACTTATTTCATAACCCAATCTTTTAGCTATACGTAGAGAGGAGACGGAGGCGAACCTCTGGTAGACGGCCTGGTTGAGACCAATACCACCAACCATCATGTAGAAGCCAAGGACAAAGGTCGACCAGAAGGTGTGACGGACGAAGCGGCTGCTGTCCAGGCTGTGGGTAGGTTACAGGTTAAATAGAACCTAGTTACTGCATGTTGTAGATCAGCAGGAGCCTAGTTATTGCTAGTTGCAGATCAGATTATATCAAAATTTCTTACAGGTAAATGGCTGCAGATTTACTGTTGGACTCTTTGACTATATAAATTTTAAGGTATGGCTGCTGGTAGACTCTTGGACTCTTTAAGACAGGGCTGCTGATGGTCTCTGGACTCTTTAAGACAGGGTGATGATGGTCTCTTTACTCTTTAAGACAAGGGTGCTGATGGACTCTATACTCACTTGAAGAACTCAATCCTGTTGCCCTCGTTAGCGATCCTCCACACGTTACCAAGACCCCCGAGGTCGACACAACAGATGATCACCACCACCAACACACCTAGGAATATGAAGAGGGTCTGCATGACGTCCGTGTACACCACAGCCTTCACGCCTCCCTGATGTACACAAGGTTGTAAACAATGGGTATCCTATCTGTATACCACCGCCTGCCTTTCCTTATGTACACATAGCTTGTACATCTCCCTGTTGTATTAAGCGTGTTGCATCCTGTATTTACAACAATGCCTGTAGACTTCCCAGATGCACACATATTTATTACATATACGTGTCATTTTGCAATAACTGTCAGATGTAACTTATGTGTGATATAATTTATCAAAAGCTGATTTGCTCTGTTCAGTTGCAAAAAATAGTGATTATACATTTTAGTTTTAATTTCTATTATCCAAATAAAACTGTTATTCAAAACAATAATACACAAGTGACAAGAGACAAATGTGTGTGTGTGTGTGTGTGTGTGTGTTCAGACAACTCTGCCTGAGAAACCCCACAAAACATTCTCCTTTATAAATATGGGTTCCACTTACTGTTAACAAAAATCATAATTATTACCAAGAGAACAATATTCCATTACTGACAATGGAAATTTAGAAGGTACAGATGGTGCCCATAATGATCAGAGACCTGAGTGTGGAGAGGTTGGTGACGGTTGAGAGAGTCAGCGAGGGAGCATACAAACTCATCCCCATGTAGATCGTGGAAACCACCATCTGACACACCGTCCCTACCTTGCGTAGAACTCTGGACTTGATCCTCATCTCTAAATACTGGAAAACACAACATACGGCTCTACTTCATTATTCATGTACCTTCTTTTGTATACAAAGGCCTGAAATGTATGAATCTTGATGAATAACGTTATAGCAGGTGAATGGTTTACTTATGCTGTACTTAATGTGTTGATAATATTGACATTCTTGGAAGGATTCAGAGTAATCTTGAATAACATTAAGTATTTAGATCGGACGCATCTCTTAAGTCACATAACTATCAAATATACTCATAGACTCACATCGTCTCATACACATACTGTAGACTCACATAAGAACATAAGATGATAAGAAAATAAGGAGTCTGCAATAGGCCGGTTGGCCTGTGCATGGCAGCTCCTGTCGAGAGTTACTACCACTCTCTATCATCCATGAATCTATCCAGCCTCCCTTTGAAACTTTCCAGCGTTCCAACACTTACTACAAGGTTACTAAGCTTGTTCCACTCGTCCACCACCCTTATTTGTAAAACAGTTCCTTCCTATCTCCCTCCTAAACCTAAACTTTTCCAACTTGAATCCGTTGTTCCGAGTCCTATCCTGGTCGGATATTATAAGAACTTTATCTATATCACCTTTATTGATTCCTTTCACCCACTTGAATACTTCTATCATACCTCCCCGCACTCTTCGTCTTTCTAGGGAATGCAAGTTTATTTTCTTTAACCTATCCTGATATGGAAGGTTTCTAACACAGACTCACACACATAGACTTACACAGACTCACACACACAGACTCACATAGCCTTACAGTCACACACTCACTCACATACCCACAAAGCCTCATACAGCAGACTCACGTTGAATCACAGAGAATCACAGTAGATCATAAAACTAGCACCCGATGCTTCATACTCACCTCGTTGAGAGACACGATCTTGAGGTTGTACAAGACAGGCAGCATCACTTGGTTGAGGAAGATGGTGCCGGGGATGATGCCCAGGAGGGAGATGGCCAGCTGTGTGCCAAAGAAGTACATCTCTGTGGCGTTACCAGATGAAGTGATGGCGTTACAGTAGAGTAAACGTTTATGTGCGTCGACGCAGAAGATAACCTCTGTGATGTTATCTAGAGAAAGCGTGTCTGAAGTACCTGTATGCAACAACTCAACACAAAAGTAAACAGGAATGACATACACTTAATCAATCTAATAAGCCCTTCATTGGTTGCCGGTTCCTAAGTATGACGTTACATCTGTATATTTATTGTCATTTTTATTGCTCATTTTCTTGAGGATAAGGATTATTCTTGCAAATCATGGTGAGTTAACCAGGGTTCGGTTTCAAGGTGAGAGAAGGTCAACACTCACCCGGTAGGTAGTAGGTAGTAGGCAGCTACCAAACAGGGAACCCACGTGGCCTGGGAAGATATTGCAAACGTAATGTGTTGTCTAATGGTAGACCTTGCTGCCATATGGCATCACGAAAATTGTGACCAAGTCCCAGGTTACTTATCTGTCTTTCTGCTTCATTTACACACAATTGTAGGGTCTCAATTGTTTCTCTTACATGACAACACAACATACATATAGCGTTTTTCACTTTTGTCTTTTTTCATTCTTGTATTTCTTTGTATTTATTATTATTATATCACAGTGTTGTTATTATTATTATTACCATTAATATTTTATTTTACTTTTTATTATAAATTTTATGGACTATGAATTATTTTTATTATTATTACATTTTCGCCTCCCCTGGCCCCGATGTGGGTCAGTGACTTGTGCCCGGGTGGGCTAATCCCCATAAAAAAAAAAACACACAGCTCCTGAGAGATGGACGGTCGTGGCCTGAATTAATGCCCGCATCCTAGTTATCCCAGACCATGGTGATAGCAAGAATGGTATGACAGTTTTGTGCCAAATTGACAGATGAAGTCATGACCAAGAGAGGAGAGAGTTGAAAGGGCCAATATACTGAGTGCCTCTTGATAGGTACTAAAAAAAGGTTGGAAAATAATCTTGTATGTACACTCGGAAACCATAATCTTTAGCCCACCTGGGTCGGTGCTGGAGGTTAGAACAGTGTTCTTTCTGGACGGGGGCCCACTCTAACTATCACGAGGCAACACACACGAACACAAACAGTTCATAGTACGGCTGTATAGATAACATTATGTATAAATATTGTATATGGCATTTTATACTCTACATTATCTTCATTATATATGAACACGAAGAAAAAAGATCATAGGTTGTAGTTACGAAAGTATGAATGTAAATAAACACTTCCAAACCACCCAGTGACTCCACACAACGTTTGCAGCGCTTGTGTGTGTGTGTGTGTGTGTGTGTGTGCCAGACCACGATGCTTCCCATCATTCGCATAACTATATGAAAAATCGTGTTTAATTTAACTACATATTTAAAAAAACCTTAAATTACATGTGGATCAGTCACTCCTCATTTGACACAATTATAGTGTAATATTTTGACCATCCGGCCTGGGCACATGGAGCCCACGGTAACTCTTACCGGGCAACATACGCACGAACACACAAGTTATGATATGAACCCTTCCAGGCTTCACTATCATTATTATGTTATGTTTATCATGCTCTGTATCTTGGTAACTAGTTATAGTATCAATACATGACAGTGTTATTAGTATAATATTGTAACTTTTACCCTCCAGTTATTGTTGTAAATCATGGACAGGAAGGATACATAAATTGTAAAATCAAGTGTATGGTTCGCGTCACACAAAGTTACAGTGTGTGTGTGTGTGTGTGTGTGTGTTTATTAACATTAAGCTTCATCCTTAGTAGGTAAGATGTTTCATAAAGAGGTTTCTCCCATTTGTCATTGTGAGCATCGACCTAAAGCACATCGTTTCCATCAAAACCATGGTTCATCCTTATTTCCCTTCTTCCGTGTAACTATATCCATATGGCTAAGTGCTTACTTTTCATTTCTTTATTTACCAAAATAATGAGGATCAGTTACTCGTTATTTAACACATATATGCACTTAGATCATCAACATTGTTTTGTAGGCATGACCAGTGGTTAATTGAAACCCCAAAAATATTTTTCACATTTATTATGCATAAACATTATAAACATATCTATGTGATTATTGTAGTATATAACATATATTTAATGTTTGGACAGATTCTCAAGAGTTATGCATATTAATGCATAGATTTTGTAAGCATACCCATGCGAAGTGACGTAGAACCACATAGTAAAATACCTGGACAAATTCCCGAGAGTTAGGAAACGAAGTCTATGTGGCCCCAAAGTTCCTAAGACCCCACGGACGCGATAGGACTAAGGACCGTATTCCTAGTCATTACGACAATAATGACGATCACAATCACCATCACGATGCATCGTGTGTCGGGATGCAACCACCCGACGCCAAGCGCCATATTTCTAGTCGCTTACATGAGCCTTTAACTAGGAATATAGTGTGTGTAAACACTGCAGTTCGTTTCGTATGGCTTGACATACGTTTCCCAAGCGCGGGTGCCAAATGCATTATTTCACATAATTAGAAAGACGGTTGAGAGAGATATTTAGTTGTTATTTTATACCGGCACAATAATATATTGGAAAATATCTTTTTTTTTATCAAATTGAACTTTAGTATCTGATCTAAACAAACTACAGATAATTTTTTCATCTGTGTACTTGGCAACAATGTTTGCGCGGTTGTTATCAAACATGGAGAGGAAAGAGCGTTCTGCAGTCCTGTCAGTAACCCAGCACATAGCACTTTTGCGCCTTATCGAGCAAAGGCCAGTCGTCGAGGACAGGTGTACTAGTACTGTAACACAGTAAATGATAGCAAAAGAAAGGCCTGGGATGAAATTACTGCCTCATTAAACGCCAGCAACCCAGATCAACTCCCTCGCACAGCCAAGCAGCTCAAGAGGAGCTCCAACATAAAAAGGAGTAAGTGTATGCTTATTTCTAAGTTTAGTATTTAAAAATAAGGTTTTTTGCCATTAGGTCACTAAATTGAGTAGGATTACAGCATTTAAGTGACGGGTCATGTGAGCAGTCCCACCCCCTACCGAAGTAGACAGAAGGAAAGCTCCCATCTCACCTCCCCATTTTCCCTTCCTTCATATAATTTTATGATCTCTTTGAGTTATATATCAGAATAAATGTTTTTACGTCTACTTTCATAAATTATATATGCTATATGCTATTATGCTATTAACCATATAGTATAATATGTGATGCATCCTTATGTGTATGTCTGAAAAAAATATGAATTCATAATGAAAGAACTGGTATGCAGGGTAGGTTCTCTTGTTTGAAATCTTTAATTGCCAGTGAATAACTTGACCAAAACATGGAACACTAAAAATTAATGCTTTATTTTCATGTTTTACTTCTAGTAATAATTATATAAAAAAAATGATAATCAATACAGTTTTTTTAACACTACAAATCGGTAAATAAAAAAACATTGATAAGGAATTATGGTCCGGTGGTCCAGTTTACCAAAGCGTGAAAGTTCGAACGCTCGTGCTTGGCTAGCGCACAACTGCCGTCCTGCTGACAGCATACAGCGACATCATTTTCCAGCGTAAATAATATGGTTAATTAATGCCTTCCTAAAGAAACCATCGACATGGGACCAGGTTTGTTCCACTCTACGAATTTTTTTGCGATTTTTCCACCAAATTTGATGAAAAACGACTGTGCCGTTTCGGTTGCCCAGAACAGACACACACACACACACACACAGACACACCGCTATTCCTATAGTATATGAGATAATCATGGTCTTGGTTACTATAATCATAGTCGTGGTTGTTATAATCATGGTCGTGATTGTTATAATCATAGTCGTGGTTGTTAAAATCATGGTCGTGGTTGTTATAATCATGGTCGTGGTTATTATAATCATGGTCGTGGTTGTTATAATCATGGTCGTGGTTGTTATAATCATGGTCGTGGTTGTTATAATCATGGTTGTGGTTGTTATAATCATAGTCATGGTTATGATCATAGTCGTGGTTGTTACAATTATAGTCGTGATTGTTATAATCATGGTCGTGGGTTTTATAATCATGGTCGTGGTTGTTATAATCATAGTCGTGGTTGTTATAATCATGGTCGTGGTTGTTATAATCATGGTCGTCGTTGTTATATTCATGGTCGTGGTTGTTATAATCATGATTGTGATTGTTATAATCATGTTCATGGTTGTTATAATCATAGTTGTGGTTGTTATAATCATGGTCGTGGTTGTTATAATCATGGTCGTGGTTATTAGGTACTGTAAGTATCTAGTATACTATAGGAAGGAATAGAATAAAGGTTAGAATAATTAGTTAAAGAAATATTCGCCATAAGGAGAGGTTACAATCATAAAAAAAAAATTACTATGAATCACCGATGATCATTCCGAGATAAATTATATTATGAAGAGAAGTGACCTCGATTCTGGTTAGATTAGTCACCATCTGCTTAAGTCATCACCCGCGTTAAGTCATAATAGTCATCATCTACGTTATTCAGTTTTAGGCTCATCTCACATGACTGACCGACCATCGATGTTCTTTCCTCTCGACGTTGTTAGTTTTCAATGCGTCTTATTATTACGCTGGTGGATGTAAGACCAGCTACCCTCACTGACGCAGCTATGGTCAATTTGGTGTTATTCTTGTTTATAAATGCCTTCTAATCTATCTCAAGTCTATCCGTCTTGTCTATTGCCATCCCAACTGTCTGTTCGTCTGCGTGGTGTTTGAATGTAAGCCCGTCTGTACTCTTTGTGTCGTCAAATCTGTCTGTCTTATCTGTTGTTGGCGTGTGTCTGCCTGTTTGTCTAATGTGAACCAGTCAGTCAAGTCAGCTGTCTGTTTGTCTGTCATGTTAGTTGGCATATTGTCTATTTGTGCATGAATGAATCTGTCTATTTTTGTCAACCACCTGTCTATATTCACCCTGCGTCTATTGTAGTCATCTTCTCCATGCATTCCTGTTATTATCTTTTTATCGTTTCTCCTTAACATGTACAGTCAGCCACAGGAATAAGTATACACTGTAGCTGTAAGGTCGTCTGGTAACGTTGAAACTGCGCATCCAGACGTTTGATGAAACTCAGCTCCCCCCCTACCTGTTATCTCTAACTATTTTCTGTTTCCCCTTCTTTTTTATTCTATTTAATCATCTTCCTTCCTTTACTAATCCAAACAACATTAAAAAAAAGTAGACTAAGAGAAAAAGTGGGGGAGGAGGTAGGAGCCATACGATAACTGCAATCGTCCGACAGGCTGACAACGTACAGCGACATCTTTTGCCAGCTTAAATAAAATCGTTAATTAATGTCTTCCTAAAGAAAACATCGACATGGGACCAAGTTTGTTCCACTCTCCGATTTTTTTGCGATTTTTTCACCAAATTTGATGAAAAACGATTGTGCCGTTTCGGCTGCCCAGAACAGACAAAAAGTGAGGTTAGGTTAAGTTAAAGTTAGGTTAAGTGAGGTTAAGTTAGATTAAGTTACAATTTGGTTAGATTAACTTAAATTTAGTTAAAGTTAGGTTAGGTTAAAAATAGGTTAGGTTAAAATAAAGTTAGGTTAAGTTAATAATAGGTTAGGTTTAGCTAAAGTTAATCTAGGTTAAGTTAGGTAAGGATAGGTTATTTACATGTTTTGTGCCAGTTATTCACTGGCATTGGGGGGCAATTGTCCTAGAACCAAGCTATACAGCATATAACTCTATGTGAAACAGATATTATTCTGCAGATTTGATGTACTTTTCATTAGTTGCTTGGCAATACACACTTGGCAAGCCAAAATATTCTGGCAAGATAGCTTCAAACAGGTCTATGCTCAGTTTCTGAAGGGTCACCTCCAAAGACTTGTCAGAAGCACGAGTCCTCATTACCAGCATATCATAATAAATTTTAATGCAGATATGACTGTAGCCTAGTACTGTATAAAGCATTTATTTTTTTCTGTTTCTTTCAGAACTAAAACCAGAGATATGGGAGAATGGGTGGTGGTCCTCCAGGAAAACTATCATTAGCTTCAGAAGAAATCGTCACCCAGTGCTCGTGTCATGCGGAAGACTTCTGCAACTGTACCTGAACTTTCTCACTCCCATGATTCACTTGTTTTGCCTGTTCCAACCCCAGGGCCATCAACTGTGTCTTCTGTACAATCTACTTCTGTTTTTCGACTTCTAATTTCACCCCCTGTTCCTGCCTCACCAGACATTGTGAGAAAAGACAAGGGGAGTTCCACAAATATTAATTGTACACAATGAAAAGGGAGCATGAGGAGGAACTGAAAGTGAAGAAGGCCGTAATATCAGCACATACACTCAAAGAAAAATAAAGTGAATTTGTAATTAGAGTGATTGAAAAGACACTTGAAAAAATTAATAAATCTTTTGAATTGTTAGATACATGTTTAAGGAAAGCATCAGCTACATATGATGCCATAGCTAAAACTTATGAATGATGGTTGACTAATAACATACAGTCATATGCAATGTTTATCATTTTACTATATACAGGGGTACTGTGATATTTCATAAAGTGGCATCTAGATTATAAATTTATATTCTTATGTCTTACACCTTAAAATAATTTGATTTAAAGGAAATAAATCTGCATTTCTTTATTTTGCCAACGAGTTTCATTGGTTACAAAAGCTGTCACAAGTATGGCAACTACGATTTTAGTTATTTTTTATTTATAATATACAGGTATGCTGTGATTTTCAATAATTGCAGTTCTTTTTACTGTGCTAAAGATTTTTTTTTTTTTTTTTGGTAGATTTATAATACAGGTTGTTCAGTGCAAAGTACGTAATGGATAAAGGAGATTTTGCTCATTAATTTTTATGTATTCATATATAATTTAATTTAGAGAAAATAAGTCTCCACATTTCTATTTTGTGCAAATATTGTGCAAAGTATGGCAGTTAAGATTTTTGTATATATCTATAATATAAGCTGTGATATTAATGAAATGTAAAGTCCTGTATAGAAAAACTGATTTTTATTATCTTAATTTTTGCACATTTAGAAAAAATAAATCTTCATTTCTTTGCTTTGGTTTTCTTCATATTACCTCACAGGTGAATTACCTTACATATTGAGTTAAGCTTCCTTATTAAAGACCTCAATGAAGTAAAAATTAGACAATTTAAGGCAACATAATTTAAGAATGAATGAAAAGGCTTTATAAAAGAAATAATATAGAACCAGTGTTTTATTAAAATTTAATGACATGAATCGTTCACCACTTAAAGTAATGTATGGAACATAGTAGTTACCTAACTAACTAAATCCGTATTACTTCTTAATGACTATCAAAGTAATGAAATAAACCTTAGTGTACATTATTAACTAAAAAAATGCTCCACTATATACTCCCTGCTTGCTTGACCTTCATGATTTCCGTATCTGACCATTTCTTCAGGGTCGTCAGGGTCTTCGAAATGCATGTCTTCTATGTTCAGTGGAAGTCCTGAAATCAAAGCAATATTATGGAGAACTGCACATGCAATTATAATATTTTAGGTAGTAGACTGCTTTGCTCTTAAATGTTACAATACAGCAAATCTCCTCTTCCACAATCCAAATGTTCTTTCAATTGTAGTTCTTGTTTTAATTTGAGATCTGTTATATTTCCTCTGCTTTTCATTAGCTGGATTATGGATTGGAGAGAGTAAGTATGGACATAACGCATACCCACTATCACCAAGTATATAGCCTCGATATTTACTGGCCTGCAGACTTTCACAAAGTCTTGACGTTGTGAATATGCGGGAGATGATGTTTGATTTTTGTATGCAGCTTCCTGATGCTGTCCTTAGATACTCTGTAGCGCTGAATAAATTGCTTTTCATTATAATACTGAAAAGGATCTCGTCTTACATGAAATCGTCGCTTTTTCATATCATCAACCTGACTTAACATCCTTATTTCTTTGATGTCATCAGGGTGTTGTCTGTAGTTTTGCATGCTGTAAAATCATAACATTATCATTTTATTTATTTTTTCTTAATTGAAATTTTGTAATAAAATTTGTTTCTAAGACAACTGGCCCCTTGACAATTACCCCCCGACAAATGTCCCCTGCACAACTGCCCCCTGGAAAATTGCCCCACATTACCAATGAATAACTGGCACAAAACATGGATCTAACCTAACTTTCACTTAAAAAATACAACCTTACCTAACCTACTTAACCTAACCTAACCTCATTTAACTTAATCTAATGTAATTTAAACTTACCCTAACTTAACCTTACCCAATTTTAACTTAGCCTAACTTAACATAACCTAGCTTAACATAACCTAACTTAACATAACCTAACTTGACCTAACAAAATATTAAATATGACTGACCCACAATTTTTTCAATTAACCAATGTTTTTATAGAAATCAGTAAGTGTTGCTGATTGAATACCATCATACAGATGGCAAAGTTAAACTGATCTTTCATGCCAGTGCAGTGGGGGGCCCTGCCTTGCATTGTACACACTTCAAGTTACATAGAAACTTCTTAAGAGCCAAACTGCGTCAAGTTGACAAATGTGCATCACATGTGTTTTTTTTGCGACAAAAAAGTTTGGTTAATTGTCACTCTCTTACTGTCTACTGTGCTGTGTGCTTTTCTGATATTGTATAGAATATAGCTAAAAAATGTAGTTATACTTAGATGAATGAGAATATCGTTTGTAAAACTTAAAAGTAAATTGATTTTTTTTAGCCAAAGAGTGCAGTGTTGCGTGTATCATTAAAACTGTGATGTAGCCTAGTATTGCAGAATTTTAGAACAAATTATTTGTATTGATAGTAAGCAGTACTTATTCTTTATTTTATTATTGACAGTAAATATTTCAGTTACAGAATAAAGAAATGAAATCTTCTGCTTACTTATGTCGGCATATTTCTACCTGACACACACAAGACATTGTAGATCGTAAACCATAGCTTCTATCTTGTTGAAAATAAATATTAACGTTTATACTAAACTATATTACTGGGCCCATCCCTGTGATATTTTCCTTGCTAACTCAAGATAGTGACCTCACTTGGCTTGCCTCATTCCGGAAAAAATTAAGTGAATTTCGTGGTTCAGATGGTTAAAATTTTATTACTACGACGACAAAAATATTGTATGAATGAATAAAGATAAGAAACATACCTTAAATTATAACAGAAGAAAGTGTTAATTGAAGATGTGGCTCAGCAGTCGTCGCGAGTCGGAGCTCATGATGTCAACATTCCAATAATGTTTAAAGTTCAAGCAGTGTTGTGAAAGTTGATTTTTCCGTATTACCACTTCTTTTAATTATACTTATCAAAAAAATAATATCATTCGACGTAGACATCTGTAATAAAGTACTGAAAAAACTTTCATAAAATATAATGATGATTATTATTCGTCGTAAGGCAGCTATCGGGTAGGGGTAGGCACCCGATGTTGTTTCCAACAATACAGGGGCATACGCACTGTTCCCTTCCGATACCTCGTTTATCGGGATGACTAGTAATAGACCAGAACGAACACTATCAATTGGCATCGTGCTCCGTAATGACTCGGAATACGGCCCTTTCTAACACAGTGCGCCCAGTTGATTTCATTGGTTCTCATGAAGATGTCGATTAAATTAAAAATATCTTCTCCCGTTGTGACAAGGGGCCGACAAAACAAAACTCCTCATGAACTGTTCCTTTAAATAGTAACGAACGTAAATCAAAATAATAATAACAATTCCAAAATGAACGTAAGTGTAATCCCTAAAGGTGGACGGATGCGCTCGGTGAAATCCGGTTAACCGTTAATTATACTCCACTGGATTGTACTAATTTATTTGACAAGAAAATGTTCTCCATTAAAGATATGTCTAAAATGTTTAAATTTCTGATAAAAAAAAAATAAAGACGCATTCTGCCACACGGATTTTCTCTCGCGTGCCTCCAGAGGTAAGTTCATGCATCACATTTTCGGAACCGCTGACCTAACCAAACCTAACCTATTTTTTTAGGTTTTAGTAGGGGACCAGCATAGGGACGGAGGTCCTATATACACTGGCCAACCGGCCATCACACTGAATTACACAGACTCTCGCCTCATAGGGCAGCTGCACCCCAAGTTGTAGTCAAAGTTGACTGCTAGTGAGTGATATCTAACCTAACCTAGCCCAACCAAACCCAACCTAACCTAATATCAAAGTCTACAACCTTGGGAAGCATATAATATTTGTAATATGTGTGTTAAGTTTCAGGACTTTAATTGCTTCCGTTTTGGGGCTATGGCCCGAACAGACAGAGACTCACAGACACGTCCTTTTATTTTATAGTTTATCTAAATTAGATTTTTTGGCTCTAATTGACAACAAAATTGAATTATGTCTTAAGCAGATCGAAAGTATTAACTAGAAAATATCAATAATATTAAAAAAAAAGAACAAGATAAAATGCATTAATTCAGTGATAACTTTATTACAGACAAAAATCAGTAATACCTGTAGCAAAAAGATATATAATGCAATCGTCAATGGCCATTTGGATGGAGATAAGGCAGGATGTGACCCAAACGGACCCAACGTGAACACTGAGGCGAGACAGAGTCAGCGGTGGTATATATTGTTTAGAAATCAGTAAGGCATGTCAAAAGAGTTTTTAATATTTTTGTTTCTCTTTCTTGCAACAACATGAAGAATGATAACAATTAATATTAATGATAGGTAATAATAAAAATAAAATTATTTAAATAATAATAATGATAATAACAATACTAACAATAATAAAGATAATAATAATAATAATAATAATAATAATAATAATAATAATAATAATAATAATAATAATAATAATAATAATAATAATAATAATAACAATAATAAAAATGATAATAATATAAATAATAATAATAATAATAATAATAATAATAATAATAATAATAATAATAATAATAATAATAATAATAATAATAATAATAATAATAATAATAATGATAATAACAATAATAAAAGTCTCTGAGGGCAAGAAACTAAAATTAAAAACATTAAATAAAATAAAGTATGTCAAATTATGTATAAATAATGATAAAACAGGAATAATAGAGAGATAAACCAATGATGATGTAGGGGAAAGGATAATGGAGGAAGTCTAATCCATGCCTCTTCTCCTTCTCCCCCCTACCCCTTCTCCCCTCCCCCTTCCCTCCCCAAAAGAGAAAAAACTCGTATAATTT